CACCGCAACCGCGCTCTACCTGTGGGGCAGCGTGATGACGGCTCTCTCCTACCCGAAGGCGCCTGATCTGGCCCAACGGAGGAGCCCCCTGCAAGGCCCCTTCCAGAGAATACCCACTGCCTGCGAGAGATCTAACCGTACTGCCCCTGCCGCACCCCCCAGCCAGCCTGGCCTCTTCGGACTCGCCGTGCTCCCGGTTCCTCCGGCACTCCACTGCCATGCCTGCTTAGCTGGTGTGGGCCCCCCATGGGGTGCAGCCCCCAACCGCAAGGACTGGCTGGACCCCCTGGGGCTGAGGCAGTGCTCCTTGCACACTGCCATGGATCTCAGTAGAATCAAGAGCTTCATTTTTCCCAGCTAGGAGCAAGGGGCAACAGCCCCTTTTCCCCTTCTCTCCTGGTGTGGCACGGCTCACTTCCTTGCACTTCTGGGACCCCTGATCCCTGGGGCTGCGTGGGGCTGGAGGCCCCTGCATTACTTCCAAACCAGCATTTGTGTCCCCCCACCCAGGGCAAGGGTGTTCTTCGCTTTGGGGGCTGCTGGGACACGTTGGGGCAGAGTTGGCTTGCCTTTGGGGTGCTGGGGTGGGAACCTACTAGCTGGAGGGTAGAAATGGGGTGCCCTTGGGCAGGGGTGCTAGGGCAGGGGGAGTGTTGTTCCTCTTCCTACAGCGAGCGGGTGGCCCGTGGTGGTGGTGGTGGGCAGAGGTGGTGGGTGGGATGGAGGATGCTGGGGCTGTGTGTGCAGGGTGGAGGGACTGGGGCAGTGACCCTGGTGCAGGGGTGGGGTGCCTGAGCGAGGGGAGAGGAGGTAGAAGGAAGGGAGAGCGAGCAGCCCAAGCTGGCTGGCCATAGGAGCAATTCCTTTTGGGGACTGCCAGGCCACTTCTCGGGAGGTGCGAGGGTCACACCGAGAGGGGACCTCGATGTGGCTGTGCCCCAGGGCAAGGTTGTGCCCTGCTGGGCTTGGAGGTGGTGAGGTGTCGTTAAGGCTGAGCTTCCTTATCCTGCTTGTGTGGGGTGCTTTGAAACTGGGGTGCTCTGTGACCCCGTCCCAAACCCCAGCTGTCCATGGCTGTGAGCAGACAGTGCCTGACTGCTCCTCGGGGCGGGGAGAAGGCGCCTCGTCTTGCTGACCAGCCCGGCTCATTGTGCCCCTTCTTTTTACTGTGGGTTTTACACCTGTTTTTTCACTCTTTTGTAGATGCAAATCTCTTCCAATAAAAGTAGTTCTTGCTGTGCACCTGGTTTGTCGCGCTGAGCCGCTCCGTGCTGGCAGCATGTCTCGCCCCGCGCAGGGCCCCGTCGCTGCCGCTGTCTGTGCTCCCTGAGCCGGGCTGTGAGGTGGATCCTGAGTGCTGGCGAGTGAGCCCCGGAGGGACCAGGCTCTCTGGTGACAAGGGACAGGAGAGAACATTGGGTCTGGTGCCTGGGGAAGGCAGTGGGAGAGGAGGTTCCCTGTCCTTGGGAATGTGGGGAGCGCAGGGTCTCCACCGCTCTTTGCTCTCCAAAGTCTGCCGAGTTGATGAGTGAGCCCCGAGCGGAAAGGGCTTGGCACGGTTGCCAGTGTTGTTGCTGGCAGAGCCACCACTGCCCAGTGACAAAAACATGAGCATCCCCTGCCTGCGGTCCCTTGGGAGCCTTCCCAGCCGAGTGGGCAGCTCTTGGCCTGGGTGTCCTTGTCCAGCAGCAGGACGGAGTGCCCTCCTCTAGGAGCGTGAGGGGTGTGGTGGAACCCCTCAGAGACCCTCCTGGTGTGGTCACAGTGCCCAGAGAGGGGAAGGGCAAGACCTGGTGGGGAGTTGCACAGCTTTTAGTGGGCTCCTCGAGGCCTGGTGGTGGAGAAGGGCTGGACCAGGAGAGCAGGGGGATGCTGTGCTGGGGAGGAACAAGCTTGGGCAGGGCAGGCTGGAGCTGGAGGATGCTCCAAGCACGCGAGGGAAGAGGGGTCTTCGCTGTGGCCCTCCCGGTCCCTGCCCTGTCTGCCGCAAGAGGCAGGGATGTGACCCGGGCTGTGGGCAGCTGGCATTGTAACAGCATGTGGTGCCCTGGCCGTGGGTGGCTGCCACCTGGCCCTTGTGGTGACAACCCAGGGTGACACTTGCATTCCTGGTCGCAAGAGCAGGTTACTCACCAACTCAAGTTAATGGCTAACCCTGGGGCAGCTCCTGCAGAAGGTGGAAGTTCAGCTGTGTGCAGGCAGAGGAGCCCTTGGGGGGGGGGTGGGAGCCTGCCCCTGGGCTGTTGCTTAGCCCTTCAGGTAAGGGGGGACCGCGGTGAGCAGCCAGAGAGGTGGGGAGAGGGCGGGCGTTCTCATGGGTGGCAGAGCAGGGGCCAAGGGTGGTTGGGTCTCTGGCTGGGGCGTGCTGTGAGGGGAGTGGGCAGCGGTGGGTGCTGTCTGGGGGATGTCAGTGGGCATGCATCCACTTGGGGGGGCTGGGCACGGGGGGCTGCAGCTCTGGGTGCCGCAGGGAGTCACGACCACCCCCTCTCTTCCCCGCACAGCACCTGGCCGTGCAGGCCTCCTTGCTGTGCATCTTCTACCTCCTCCTGCTGTCCACCCTGCCCGAGGAGCTGCCCCATGCCCAGACCACCAGCGAGCTGCTGGCACGCAGCCTCTTTGCCTGTGGCATCTCCACCATGCTGCAGACCACCCTGGGGAGCCGGTGAGCAAGGGGGGCGAGGGGATGCAGCCTCCAGAAGGAGGGTGACATCACAGGCGGGCATGTCTGTGCCTGCTCCTAGGCTGGGGGGGAGGACAGGTCTTGCTGGAGGTGGGAAGGGCACGAGGCCCAGGTTTTCCACAACAACCCCTTGCCCAATATCTCCGTACAGCTGTCCCCTCCCTGCCATCGCTGCATCCTCCTCTCTCGCACGTCCCTCCAGCAAAACCGCTGTGCCTTCCCCTAGCTCCTCGCTGCCTCGCTCCCCAGCATCACATGCAGCTCCCCAGCCCATCCTGCGCCTGTGCTGCCCACAGCCCACACAGGGCCTGGGCGTGTGCTTTGGCAAAGCCTCTGACCTCTCTGCACACCCCACATGCTGCTGCTTGCAAAGTGCTAGGAGGTCACATCTGGGATACAGGGTACCCTCCTGCCGTTTTGGGGTTCCCACCTCTCACTGCTCCAGCAGTCAGAGCTTTGGGAGCAGCCCCGTCCCCTCTTTTCCTCCCTAACGTTCCCTTGCTGTCGCCTTCCCCAGGCTGCCGCTGATCCAGATCCCGTCCTTCGAGTACCTGGTCCCTGCCGTGGTGCTGAGCTCCCACCTGCCCCTCAGTGCCAGCACGGAGAGGAACGGTGAGCATAGCCCTGGAGCCTGCACCCCGCGGGGCCCTGGCCGTGCTGCTGCCAGGGGAACGGCGCTGGTGGCGTGCATGGTGCGCAGGGGAGGGGTGAGGGGCAGCAAGAGGTGCTGCCTGCTGGGCTCTGTGGTGATGGGGCACAGCACCCTGCTCTCTCCTGAGTGCACCTGCAACGCAGCTGGTCACTCCCCAGGGTCAGGGCTTATGCGGATGCTGGCGCTTCTGCAGCCAGCAGCCCAGTGTACGCACGCATCGCATCCCCCTGAAATTCCCTCTCAGGCACAGCCGTGGCCAACGTGTGCCCTGCACCACACTGTACCGTCACAGGGAGCCGGGCTGCCTCGCTGCGAGAGGTGGGTGCTCCTGACCTGGGCTGGGGATTCCTCCTGCTCCACCAGCACCCCACTTGTCACCCACGTGCCTGCTCCCCCAGACCCTTTTCCAGCCCTCCTGGGGATTGCCACGAATAAGGGGGGACACAAGGGGATGTGCAAAGGCGATGGTGGTCATGGTGCACGTGGGTGCGTGTGTTCTCCCGGGCTTGCGGTGAGCTGAGCCCGGTTGGAGCGTGTGGAATGGGTGAAGCTACTGGGGTGGTGGGAGTGTGGCCAAGACAGAGTGATGGGCTGTGCTTTGTGTACCCTGCCACACTGGCCGCGTCCTCTCCTCCTCCCGCAGGTCTCTGGAGCTGTGCTGATCTCTGGGCTGCTTCAGCTGGTGCTGGGAGTGTCCGGCATGTGTGGGTGGGCAGCCCAGCGCTGCGGGCCCATGGTGCTGGCCCCCAGCCTCTCCATCATCGGGCTGTCCGCATACAAAGAGGCCGCTTTCTTCTGCTCCACTAACTGGGGGGTAGCGCTGCTGTACGTGAGCCCCGGGGCCATGCTGGTGTGCAGCCCGCAGAGCTTCCCTTTGCCGTGGGGCATCCCCACGGTGCACGGCACATGTTTGGGGCCCCATCACTGTGATGCTGCATGGTGACTTGTGCCTCCCTCTCCTAGGCTCATGCTTCTTGCTGTCACCTTCTCCCAGCACCTGAGGTCCTGCCACCTGCCTTTCTGTGCCTGGCCCCAGGCTCAGGAGGGTTCCATGGAGCCATCCGTCCCCACGCTGCGCACGTTCTCGGTACCGTGGCTTGTCTGCCCCTGCTCCCTCTGCTGCGCCCAGGCTTCTCTCTGAGCCTGGATCTCTGGTGCGGGGCTAGATGGGACCCAGTGGCCCTGGAGCAGAGCTGGGTGCTGGGAGCAGAGGCAGGGGGAAGTCCCGGAGCAGCTCCTGGACATGGGTGCTGCTGGGGGAGAGCAGGGGACCTGTGCTCGAGGCTGTTGGAGCAGGAGAGCCTGGAGTGCTCCCTGCGGGGGTAAGGAGAGATGTGGCATGACTGCCTGGGAGAGGTGACAGGACGAGTGCATGTTGTTTGGGGTACAGCAAGTGGGGTGCTGGCCAGGGGAGGAGAATTCCCTGCTGAGGTTCCCCTTGCTGCCTTGCAGGTGCTGCTCCCATTTGCTGGTGTCTGCGTTTTCTGTGCCATCCTCAGCCACCTCCAGATCCCCTGGGAATCACTGGACCTGCCCACAGCGCAGCTGTCCTGGGCCAACAGCACCTTCCAGGCCCCTTGGCTCCGCATCCCCTACGCAGGTGGGGGGCAGCAGGACTGGGGGCAGCCATCCGCCCTCAGCGAGTGCCCCTCTCACCCCTCCCCTCTCCCTCCACTGCAGGCGAGTGGGGGTGGCCGCTGCTCACCCCCCGGGCGCTGGCAGTGGGCATCGCCATGGCCATCGGTTGCAGCATGAACTCAGTGGGCTGCTACGTGCTGTGCAGGAGGCTGCTGCGAGCCCCCCGGCTGCCCCCCCACGCCTGCAACCGGGGGCTCTGCACCGAAGGGCTGGGCAGCCTCCTGGCAGGGCTGCTGGGCACGCCGGGGGGCACGGCCGCCAGCATCGCCAACGCCTGCGCCGCCGGCCTCACGCAGGTATGCCCGGGGTGCGGGAGGAAGGTTGGCAAGGGATGGGGAGGCGGTGGAGCAGGAGGTGTGGGGGACCTGTAGCACCCAGGCTTCCGCTGAGCCAGCGCTGGGAAAGGCAAGTCTGTACGGCACTGTGGGGGCAAAGAGCAGGGGATGACACTCTCCATCCTCACTTTCCTGCCCTCCATTCTGCCAGGCTGGCTCTCGCATCTCGGTGCAAGTAAGCGCGCTGGCATGTGTGGTGCTGGGGCGGTGGAGCAGGAGGTGTGGGGGACCTGTAGCACCCAGGCTTCCGCTGAGCCAGCGCTGGGAAAGGCAAGTCTGTACGGCACTGTGGGGGCAAAGAGCAGGGGATGACACTCTCCATCCTCACTTTCCTGCCCTCCATTCTGCCAGGCTGGCTCTCGCATCTCGGTGCAAGTAAGCGCGCTGGCATGTGTGGTGCTGGGTCTGTCCCCGCGGCTGGCAGGGCTCCTCACCAGCATCCCACTGGCTGTTCATGGTGAGTACCCTGCCCTTCCCCTGCACTGCGGTGCCCGCAGCCTGCCCGGCGCTGCCTGACTCCTGCCCCTCACAGGGGGGTTGCTCTGCGTCACCTATGCCGTGGCCGTGGGCACGGGGATCTCCTACTTCCAGTATGCGGACATCGACTCGGGGAGGAACATCTTCATCGTTGGCTTCGCCATGTTCATGGCACTGCTGGTGCCACGGTGGCTTGGCGCAGCTCCAGCTCACCTGGCCACAGGTAGTGGGGATGTTCTCTGGGTAAGGGAGAGCCTTGGGCCCCGTGGCATGGTGGCCATGCATCTCCATGTCCTGGGAGGCTGGGGCGGCTCACGGCAGTAGGCAGCTCCCTCTCCAACCCTTGGGTCTGCCATAGCAGCTTCTGTCCCTTCCCTGCTGCTGGGTGGGACATCCAAGGTGATTCTGGCACATTCCCTGCAGGCTGGGTGCCCCTGGACCTCCTCTTCCTCTCCCTGCTCATGGTGCCTGTCTTCTTAACTGGCTTCTTGTCATTTTTCTTGGAGAACACAGTCTCAGGTGAGGGGATGCTACAGCATGTCTGCATGACACCCTGCTCTGAGGGCTGGATCTGGCCATGGGACCATCCCCAAGCCACCGGCTCTGCCTCTAGGCAACCCTGCTGGGGGTCTTGGGGCTGGTGTGGGCTGGGAGGGTGCAGCTGGAGGAGGAGGGTCCCATCTTGCTGCCCACTGCCCTGGTTGCAGGAACTATGGAGGAGCGAGGGCTGCTCTCTGACCTGGCGCTGCGGAAAGCTGGGGCAGGTGATCGCCACCCCCACGGAGAGAGGGGCGAAGCCAGCCAGGCGTATGGACTCCCTGCTGGGCTGAGGAGGCTACTGCCATCCTCCTGCAGCACCTTCCCCTGCTGCTTCCTCTGCCCGGGGAGGGAGGAGGAGGAAGAGGAGGAAGGCAGCCACATTGCCGAGGAGGGGACTGCTGCACCGGGGGAAGGGACACACCTGCTCCCCAAACCTGGCGTGGGGGAGCTGCAGCCAGCCAGGAGGCCGAGCGAGATGGACATGCCTCCATGGCACACTGTGGCCTGACCCTGCGGCGCAGGGACACCTCATGCGGGACCAGGGCTGTGTCCCCAAGGCAGCTCGAGAGCCACTTTGCTCCTCATTTCTGAAGCCCCTGTGGGCTGGAGGGACCTGCACTTCCACACTCCCAGCATGAACCTCATTTCCCTGCTCGGGAGTGAGCTATAAAAACCTTCAACCACCTTTGCCCTTGCCAGGGGTTTCCTTTCCAGCCAGGATTTGACTGGGAGATGCCAGCCCACCCTCCCCTGGTGCCACTGCAGCTGGGGCTGTGGGTGCCCCTAGAGCCCACCATCACCCCGTGGACACGGCTGGGGCAGGGCTCAGTGCTTTGGCCAGCCCCAGAGGGCTGTTGCCCCAGGCTCTGCTCACCCGTTGGCACCATGCTCGGGAAGCACTGGCTCTGGCCCTCCTCATGGCCGTGTCCTAGCTGTGCCCACAGCCCCGTGATGCTCATGGCACCAGGTGTGTACTAATGCCCGGGCTCTGGCACGCCAGGATGCTCCAGGCTGGGGGTGCAGCTCAGCTCCCCAAAACAGTGACTCCTCTTTCACTTGCAGAGGGTTGGTCCCAGGAGCGCTCGCTGCTTAACTGTCCCCCAGGTATTGCTCCTGCTGCTAAACCAGCCAGCAACAGTTCTCTGGAGAAGAAATCCCCCTGTGTTATCTCTTGTACTTCCAATCTATATACTTCTTGTAAGTTGGTAAATCCACTGCTTGCAGCTCTAGTGTTTACAGCAGATCAGAGTCCCTGGGCAGGGCTCTGTGCTCCCAGTGCTGCTTCCACCAGCCTGAACTGGCTTGTGAAAGCCCAGCCCTGGGCTAGGAAAGGCTGAGGCTTTGCAGCCCTTGGGTGATGCCAGCTGGCCCCGGGTGCAAGCTCAAAGGAAGGATGAACATCAGCTGGGAGGATGGTGGAGCCGGCCCACAGGAGTGATGTGCTTGCACTGGACCGCAGCTCCAGGCTGTGGCTGCCCCATCCACCTGGTTCCGAGGAGCCCCCTGACACCCAGGAACACCCAAGGGTGGCTGCGGGGTAGGAGGGACGTGGTGCTGCTGTGCGTGCGGGTCACCGGGCATGAGGCCCCTTTCCCCAGCTGCCCGTGATCCCCACAGCTGGGCCCTGTGCACCCAGTGGGTGTAACGCACAGCTCAGCCTCACCCAGCCAGCACCCGAGCTGTGCCCAAAGCCTGACTGGGTCCTGCAACCCACCCTCTCCCGCACCCCAACCTGGCCCTGCACCCCAGCTGTGCCCAAAGCCCAGCTGGGTCCTGCACCCCAACCTGGTCGTGCAGCCCACTCTGTCCTGCACCCAGGACTCCCTGCCTTGGCCACCTCCCCGGCCCCCCTCCTTGGGATGCAAGCCCCCTGGGGTGACCGCCCTCCCCTGGCCCTGTC